GTCTTCAAAAAGGAAAGCCATTATAAATAAATCTTTTCTTTTCTTTATTCCTCTTCCTTCTTACACCAACCAAATATTCCGAGAGAAAGGCAAAACAATCCCAAAATCCACAATTCTCAATAAATCCAAGCAAGCCAAAGTTCCCCCTTCCTCTTCCAGGGGTGGTATCAAACAAATAAAAAAAAAGAGTCCAAATCTATATTTTAAAGCCTTATTAAGATTATATTTCTGTCCTCAAGTCTTCAAGGCATCTCCTCCAACAATATCCAAATTTATATATTTTCTTTATCCTCTCCCTTCCGGCTTAATTCCGTCGGGAGGGAGAGTAAACTTTCCCTTCAGCACCTCAAAATAGCCGCTTTTTTTTTTCTCTTGTGGAAAAAATCATCAAAAAACCATCTTTTCCAGGAATTAAATTAGATAAATCTCAAAGCCCTGAGTCAACCAAGAAGAACTTTCACTTTCAATAACTTTCTCTTCTTCCTCCTGCGCATACTTGCCCGGCTGTCAACTTCTTTGTGGCGGCCATTACGGACCGCCGCTGCACCGTCCTGGTAAAAGGAGGTTCTGCCGGCCAGGGAGGGGGTCTGCAGCACCCCCAAACCCTTCCTCCGGATCCCCCTTACCTTCAGCTACCCCTGCAGGGCAGCCTTGCTCCGCACCCGTCCGGGTCGGAGCCCCAAAACGGCTAGCGCGGCAGGGATCGCGCAGCTTCGCGAATCCCTACCGCTCGCGAAGCCGACAAACCGGAAACCTCGTTTTTTATTCTTTTAAGGTGTCCTCATTTTAATTTGCTGGTCAGTGACCTTAATTATCAGAATGTTTTAGATAAAACTCAATTTCATTGAAGGCCGCATCAGGGTTGTGTTTGACCTTGGGGGTGTTTCCAGGGGTGTGTGGCCTGCTCAACATCGCTCGTGTCGGGGTCCTTCACTGTTTCCAGGGTGGCCCCACAGGGTGGCCAGATCTAAGGACCCCCGGGCCTTGAGTTTGACACTCCTGTTTTAAACAAATCAGTTTTCCCAATTTAACTCTTTTTTTAAAAAAAGAAAAGTGTATCCTCTTTTAAGACATTTTTGATTGAGAAAAACTGAAGCCCAAATGTTTCCCGTCCTGCTCCTGCCACCCAAGTTCCCTCCGTTTCCACAATATGTGCTGCTTCCACACCAGCCTTCGTGGGATCATTTCTGCCCCTGGAATTAGCTAGGCTTGCGGGTTGGCCCAAAGAAGACACAACACCCACACCCACATTCACACACCAGAGGCTGGGTGGAAGGGCAAGAATCCGAATGGCAAAGCAGCTTTGTCGGCGGTGTTTTGTGAGTCTGGCCCATAAAATACCTTCTGCTTTCCCTCCTTGTCAGGGAAAGTTACTGAAGCATTCGCAGGGAATAAGATATGGGTGGAATTTTGGAAAAGGTTCAGGTCAGCAAAAATATCCGGCAACCGGTTGGAAGCTTTGAAGTGGGAGGCATTATTTGACTGACCTTCTCTTGGTTCATTCAGGCATGGGCACTAGGAAGGAAGGCCCCAGGAAATACCAACAGCTCCATTTATTTATTTATTTAAATATATGGGGTAGTTCAGATGTTAAATGTCCAGTCCACGAAGCCATTCAAGGACAGAGTGGAAAAAAAATCAGACATTGGCCCAGTGTAAGCTCTTGATGGACATTCGGACACTGTCAGGTGAGGCTCCATTCAAAATCCAAGAAAGAAACCCTTAGTTATAGAGAAAAGGACTTTTACTGGAAATCAAGTGGTAGCATCAAAAAAAATTCAAGATCTGAGACATTAGGCACGAAAATCACACATTGAAAATTATGGCAATGTTCCCGCCCACAATAGTTCAAACTGGCCATCCAATCTGAGATGTGCATAATGTCATGTAGGGCATCTTCAGGTGGTGATTCAGACATCTGGCTGACCTTGGCCTGGTTTTGATAAAGGGCTACAGTTGCGTAGTAAGCATCAACAGGAAAGTTTTCCCAAGTTTTACAATTCACCCTCTCCAACCTCCAGCACTCTTCCCCCTCCCCCACAAAGCCCAATGTATCCTCCCTCCCCCCATTACTATGGCAGCCAAAAAGACAAGCAGAAGATTTATTTTTTTTGAAAATTTTATTTGGGTTTTCACAAAAACAAAATACAAATAAAACATCTTTTTTTGAAAATAGCATGGTCCCAGGTTATCACTTCTTCATACAGACACAAAACTCAATTTCATGCTCATTTTTATATTCTATTCCATATCTTATTACTGTTTTATATTTTCTACATAGTTTTTCCCCTCTTTTAATTTTCTCAACTTTATTTTAATTATCTCATCTCAATTCAAATCATTATATTTATACTTTTGTCTGTCCTGTTTCAATTTCATATTATCTTTTCTCATTAAACAAATTTTTCCCTGTAGTTACCAATTGGAGTATGACACCTTTATATCTTTTAATTTTATCCATTCAAACTCTTATTTAAGCTTCAATGTATACCTTTAAGATTATAGCATTCAATATAATACATAACTTCCAATCGAATTCTGCTTGGTACATTCTTAAAATACACACTATATTCTTAAAAAGAATATATATATATATATGTAAATAGAACACACATTCCATTCCAATTCAATTCTATCATTAATATTCATTAAAATCTTAACATCTTTAACATTTCTTTTCAATTAAATATCATACTTCCTTGGGAACACTTATAAACTTTCCATAATTAATTCTTTTTTCCCCATATTTCTCACTTATATTTTTATAAATCATTAATAATAATTAAAATGTTCCCATTTAATTCTCATTCACTTTAATTCATTTATTTATTAACAAACATTCTACTACATTACAGTAAATATTTTATCCATCATTTTAGTCATATTTTCTAAAATTATTTCTGTTTGTAATATAACAAGGCTATTTTATGTACCTTTGCAGAATCCCTTTTACAATTAAATTTTCACCCATTATCTCTAAACAAGCTTATGGTTACAATTCTTATATCTTTTCCCTGTTTCTCTATTTCTTGTTTCTGTCTTTTACAACTTCTTTTCCTTACCTTTTCCCCCCTCTTCTTCTCCCTCCCCTTTTTACCCCATTGTCTCTCTACTTCTAACTCTCTCATCTGTAATCCCTTCTGTTGCTTTCTAATATTACACTTATCTTTCAAATTGTTCTTCTCTTTGGTTGTCTTTTCTAGTCTTAAACCTTTCACTCTCTTTCCCCCCTTTCCTTTTTTTCCCCTCACTTAAAATTATTTGATCATTAAAGATGGCTTCTTCTTTGTCCCAGTCTTCTTGTTCTGCAAGCATTTCTTGTTGTTTCTCATAGTTCCAGATCTCCATTTCTAAGAATTGAAGTACGAAGCCAAAAGAACCTCTCCCTTCTTGTGCATCTTCTTTCCATTTTTAAAGTTCCATTTTCAGTTCTTCTAAGAGTGATGCCATTTTAAAGACTTTTAACAACCACCCGGTTAATTTTAGTCATCTAGATGCAAAAACCAAAAACCACCAAGTAATCCAAACAAACCAAGGCTATTTCTTCTTGCTTCTTTTTTCCACTTTCTCTTCCTGGGGTTCTATTATTTTGTTGCCAAATTTCAGTTAAAATGTATCTTTGAGGAATCTTGTTAAAATTTCACTGTAAGTTCCTTTTAGTTACAGTTCCATTCCTTAGTTCCAGACAGTCTCCTCCATTTTTCCAGATCCTGCCCTTTTATTCTTTTTTTTCTCCTTTCCTGCTTTTAAAAACTTTTAAATATCCAGAAATCTTTATTATTCCTTTGACTTTTATTTTCAGCTTAGATGCCTATTAATGTCGAAGTGGATTTTTTTTCAATTTCTTGCTTAAGTCTCTTAGCTGTCAGTATAAGGAAGGGAAGAAAGAAAAAAAACCTAATCCTTTCCCTTCTCTCTCTCCTTCGCAGCTTCAAAATCTTCTTTGGGAACAATGTTATTTAATATAAATTCCAGGGTACCTTACATTGTTGCTTTTTCAGTTTAACCCGGTCGACCAAAACTTTCGCTTCTTATCTTCCTCCTACACATTCTTTTCCAGTTCAGTTCTTCTTTGAGCTGGCCATTTCTGACCACCGCTGCAACCGCCTTCAGGAAAGGGAGTAATGGCCAGCTGGGGAAGAGAGATGCGTCTGTCCTCGACCCTGCTGGCAGTCTCCCCCTTCTTCACCACCTCTACGGGGTGGCTTAGCCCCGAAACCAGCCGGCTCGAGGCGCTCTGACGGTGAGCACAGATCAAAACCGCGCACGATCATGGATTTTGGTCTGTCGCCGAAGAGCTTCAAACCGGAAGCCCACAAGCAGAAGATTTTTGAAGGCTGACACACAATGGGATGGGTATTTTGTTGAGGAGCCCCCGAGTCACACTGAGGGGTAGAGACAAGACCCCACTTAAACCAGGATTCCTGGCAGACACCAAGTTGGGTATGGATCCTCTTCAGAGTTGACCAATGCTGGCGAGGAAGGTCAAAACTTGGCACCTTTTGTGTGTAGGGTCACCTATGTAACTGCCTGTAGCTGGGCATTCAGCAGCCTATTGGGCTTTCCACTGTGTGTTGATGTCAAAGTTGTTGCACAGCTGTTGAGCGAGTACCAGAGAGGGCTTCCTGGATTTAAGCCTGCCCATTGATAGGTGAGGAAGATCAGGATGTACAGGAAGAAGTGGGTTTCTCATCATTTTGCTGTACTCCTCCAATGAGGCTTCCTGCCTTGATAGAGCTTTTGGTGCAATGTGGCCAGCAAGTAGGAGTAGATTTTATGCAGCTGCTTACGATCCTCACTGTGTCATTTAGTTTAGCACCAACAGCCCCAAGAGGCATGTCATCCTCTTGTCAAGGAAGCTGCCATGAGGTGGACAAGCGAGCTGGACTGAAAAGAAAACTTACCTTTGATAAAGTGCTGAAGCAAAGAGCCAATGCAGACTCTGAAAAAACCTTAGTCTTGCTCGACTTATGACAATATAAATCAGCAAAGAAAACACATTATCATGGGAAATATTTACTTTATTTAAAGCTAGATGCTAACAATCAGTTTCGGAATTTAAAAAAATATGTTACCATTGTCCTTTTTATTATAATTATGTCAGAACAACCAAAGTGGCCAAAAATGGGGACATTCTGAAAGGGATACTAGTTAAACCAGGCTGCCCTTAGAATCAGTGTGTGAGGCGGCTTTCAAGATGATTTTAAAACCTGGAGCACATTGGAGATGCACAGCTGGCCCTCCGGGTTAAGTCTCCAAAAGAGGAAAGTCACTTTCCCCACCACTCAGCCTCGGGACTTGTCTTGAAGGGGGCATGGTGTCCGTTGAGCCAGGGACCTTCCATGTTCTGTTTCATTTCACTGTCCCCTCCTTACGTCCGGTGAGCTGGATCCATCCATATCCAACAAATTCAGTAGATCCCCTTGACTCTCTTGTTCTCTGGATCAAAAGGCGATTTGGTGTGGACTCTGGCTGGGAAAGGAACTCCCATCCTCTCCAAAATGTAGTCGCCGCTTTTTATAAACTCCAGGGAGACCTGAGGGGGAAACAGAGCAAAGCCCGTCACTCAGGCTTCTCCTGTGAGAAAAAGGTAGAAAATCCCTCCCCGTCTCTACCCCACCTTCCTTAAAAGAACCGTCCCACTGGGGAAGTCGTCCTGCAGGGACAATGGGGGGGGGGGGGGGAGGGGGGGATTGGGGGGATGACTCTACAGGCAAAATTCTGTCTCTTGCAAACTCTTTTTTAAGGATTTTCTTGATGTTAAAAAAAAATCAGAAAGAGCTGTGACAAGTAATGTCATGTTATTTATTCCAATTGCAGATTGTATGTTTCCTGTATGAGGTAAAAAGGGTGAGAGCCCAGAGGAAGGGTCTCTGCTTGTGGGGGGGGGGGGGGGGGCTTCTTCTTTTTCCCCGCGGGGGGGGGCACTGCTGAGAGCCCCAGGTTCTTCTCCAAAGAGGCACCAAAGGCCTTACCCCAAAGCCTGCCTGGCTGTTCTCTCCTCTCCTCCTCTCAGAGTCTCCCTCCCAACAGTCCCCATAAATATTCAGCAGCCTCCCTGAAATTCCCCCCCCCTTCTCCTCATTGTTCCCTGAATGCAATTAGTGCAAGCAGCAACCCCACACACACACAACCTCGCCCGAATGGATTTTGTGCTTCTCCCGGGCCCACTGGGGGCTCTGGGGGAGGCAGAAAAGCACCGTGGTGGCCTGCGGGTGGGGGCAGTGCTGCCTTTTGAAGAAATGGCCCCAGCACGGTGCCACTTGTGACAGTTTAATTGGGGTTTAGCATCGCCTGAGCCGGATCCTGACTAGGTCTCTGGGGGCAGGAGCCCTTCTGGTATTGTTAGGCTGGGTTTTGTGGGGTATCAGAAATTGGGGGGGGGGGG